GGATCTGGGGGAGGGGATAAGGGGGAACTCGTTAGGAGAGTTTGAATTAAAGAGACACGGCCAGCAATGCCTCTGAGGAGAAACTTTCAGAAATATAATAAGATTGCATTAACTTTAAGTGTTATGATAACTAATGAAAAAGCATTAAGTTCTCTTAAAGAGATTAAATTAAGTAATCCTTGCACTAGAACCCTTTTAAGAAGAGAACAAAGATGTGCTTAGAACCTGATAACAACCGCTTACGGTTGAAAGAGGTAAGATTGGCCGATTACGGGACAAAGAGAAAAGGACCCTGAGGGAAGCTGAAAGATCAGCGAATTCACTCAGGCGGGGGAAAGCGAACGAGTGTATTGACTTCGAGGCGCCTCGTCTGCATAGCAACGCCTCTTGGGAAAAGGAAGCGCATTATATGCGTTCTCTAGAATAGCTCTGGGTCTCTTTTGATGCAATTCCCGGATGATAAACAGGGAGGCTGTAGAGTACAGGGTTTCCGATCGAAGGAATCTTTTGGAAAAAGTTAGCCGAAAGTATAATATGTAATAATAATATAATATAAAGTATAATATAATAGTATAAAGCGATTTATGGGGAGAATTTTTGCTGCATTATGAATGTCCTCGTTCGTAACAAACCAAGGAGCTTTATAAATTTCCCGTAGCATAATGTTCTGAAAAATTTGGATATGTTTCCTGTTAGTAATTGCTGCACCCCAAACCGGGCTAGCATATGTCAGAATTGGCCTTATCATTGATTTATAGAGCAAAATCCTGTTTTTCGTGGACAGGTCGCTATTTCTAGCGAAAAAATGCAGTAATTGGGTTTTGACAACCTTTCCCATTGGAAATTGTTTTTTTTTTTGAATGTGAGATTGCCAAGTTAATTTTGAATCAAGTATCACTCCTAGATACTTATAGGTAGGAACCCAGGGAATTGGTTCTCCGAAGAACTGCAAGTTAGGTAAATTTGGGAAAGTACTTCGGAGAAATAAAGTGGCAGCACATTTAGCGACATTAATTTTGATCTTCCACAGTCCGAGCCAGAGCTCTAGGCTTGAAAGATAATTCTGCAGTGCAGAAATTACCATGGAGGTGTTGGAATGTTGGTTCATGATGGCTGTGTCGTCCGCATATAAAGCTAGATTGACATTAGGTGACTTAGGTATGTCATTTATGTAGATGTTGAACATTTGAGGTCCGAGCAAACTTCATTGTGGGACCTCAGCACAGATCGGGCGGGGAGTTGAGTATTCATGGCGATCTCACACCTGAAAGGATCTACCCGTCAGGTACGACTTGATAGTTTTAATGAGTTGTGCCGAAAAACCAAGCCGCATGAACTTGTAAATAAGCCCGTCATGCCAAGTCCTGTCAAAGGCCTTGGCAATGTCAAGATAGACAATTCCAGTTTTTTCTCGTTTACGAAAGCCCTCGGGAATAAATTCCACTACACGGAGTAACTGGTGTACCGTGGAGTGTTCAGGCCGGAAGCCAGGCCAGGGGTGGTAGAAACGGGAAGGGAGTACGCTGCTCTTTCTTCGAGCCTAACAAAGACTCTTTGATAACTTCATACTTGTTTGTTTGTAAGGTTCACCTTTGACATTTTCTTGGTGACCATCGTAACCTCTGACCTTTCGTTCGAAATGTTGCTACTGCGCGCCATTTTGAATTTTGAAGCATTATCAGAATTATTTTCATTGCTAATTTCGTTTAATATTACATTTTCACTAGCATTTGCACTTGATTTACTACTCTTATTGACTTTAAAAATTAGAATTCACATTAGATTCAATACACACAATTTCAACATCAGAATAGTCACTTTCAGAATTTACGACGGGTTTACTTTGCTTACGAGAAGCGGGGGTAATGAAACCGTCCTCATCAATACTTTGCCCTTTACGCTTACGCGCTAATTTGGGCTACGCTAATAGCTTTATTTAATTTCTCCTTACGGAGAGCTTCTTTTTTCTTTAGCTTCGTTAATTTTATATAGCTTCTTCTGCTCGATCATTTTCATAACGTCATCCCTGGTCGGGGAAAGGTGGAAAATTTGTACGTCAAGGCTATTAACAATTTCATTAATTTTGAAAAATAATGTTTTACCCGATTGGTCAAGTTGCTCGTATCCATTGGAGTCCAGCGGCGTTGAAGATCGCTTCATGAATCTCTTTTGCCGTTGAATTTCTTCATATTGCTATTTCAGCTCGTAAAAAGTCACAATCAGCTTTGCTTTATTATGCAGTTGCACAGGTGAAGTCTCCGCACAAGTATCCACACTGTTCACATTCACATCACTCTCAATATTCGATGTACCCGTGATATTATTCTCATTATTATCGCTAAAATCCCCAGAAATCGGCTGCGTTGGCGGGAGCTCGTCAGACGCACTTCCTACCTAGTGTAATACAAGTTGCTGTTCCAAGTTTTAAGCTATCGAAAGATGTAATTTTATGCGGAAATACCGCTAAACTACACAAACTACTATTACCAATTGATCAACGAATGCCTGGGCACCAGTTTCTTTGTTTTTCGATTTATGCGCAAATGCCACTGAACCTTCCATGTAGCCAGCTCGATCACCGAACTTAAACCTAATCAAACTACCAGTGTTCAGTGATTTTACCGCTACCGCTCGTCCATTCATGAACCCATTAGGGAAGAACAATATCATAGCAAGTTCCTTTTTCTTAAAATTCTGCATTATGAATTTGAACATCTAGTTTTAAAGATGCGATTAATATATGTTATGCATTTTAAATTTTTTGAGAGATTCTTTCTTTAAGACAGTGGCTTATCATAATTGTTTGGTTATCACCATGACAGCATGTGTAGGAACATACAATAATTTCTCATAAGCTGACTGTTTGATTTCCGGTTATGTTACATATGTACACAATATTTCGGTATTTCCTTGTATATATTCCCTATCTTTTTAGCACAAGATTCTGAATTTGTTTCCCATTGTCAATGTATTCAAGGAAAGACTTTCCTAAATTTCAAAACAGATTCGTCCACCTAGTGACTGTTTTCATCTTACTGACAAAAACAAGCCCTCGCAAACTACATGTGAATTTCACGCCGGACATTTCCTTTCTAAGTGTTGCACTTTATGTCAGCTTAATACAACAATCGAGCAATTACAGCGAAGTAAACACGAACTGATATTCAGTCTATGATTTCGCTGAGCCAGCTGCACATTTATCTTCACTACTTATTTATGGATCCCTAACATTATGGATCCTAACATTTATGGATCCTTAACCCAAATTTTAATTAGGATGGAGAATTAATGACTGGAAGAAGTCTCTTTTACAGTGTGTGTACCAAGAGTGCAGTGTACAGCAAATTTTCAGAACCAGGAGAAAAAAATAATCGTAGCTAAATAACAAAATTTGAGTTCAAAATTTTAAAATTCGTTGAAGTTACTTGTGTCAAACTTGCCAGTAGATAGTTTCGTGCTGAACCAAACAATAGAGAGTTTGGTGCTTTGATTCGATACTGGAGAAAACAAAAAGATGCAAAAGTCCTTCAGTTATCCGAAATCTAGCAGAAGATGTGAAAATTGCCTCATTTTTAAGCTGAATTAATTTTATAATTTCCTGAGCCTGGATTACGAAACAATAACAATCATTTTTATTTCTTTTTTTCATTTCTTATAGATGGTATAATCTTATAATTATTTATAATTTTATTAAATTTTTAACAAAAAATTAACTATTTAATTCTCATTTTTATCATAAATCAATTATTGAACTCTCATATTTATTACCACGATAATAATTGTTCCCTGTTCCACTATGTATCTATTCCGAATTTTGTTCTTATCCCATATGTTTGTTGCTGCAAATATTTTGCCATAGTTAACGCTATTCATGTAATTCTGTTATTAGTAAAGGTTATTCTAAAATAATATGTTATAAATTAAAACATTGTTTTCTCCAGCACGCAAGACTGCAAATTGGAAATTCTAAAGATATAGTGTTTTTAAATACTTTATCATTTTGCTATTCAACTCACTTATATGTGGCGTAAGTGCGAAGAACAAGACATAATAAATTTAAAACACAAAACAATGATAATAAAAAGTTTTGCTGGCCATTTTACTCAGAAAAATTTACATGTTTTTTAAATAGCCGGGCGCTTTTTTTAATAGCCAATATTCTTGCGCCACTACAAGGGCCGGAAGTGGTGGCCATTTTATTATGGAAACTATAGTTGCCTCCTATGAAGGCGCGGATAATTACAAACATGCCTTCTCCGGGATTCGAACACCGGCTCATCGTTACAGCAGTCAGCGTCATTAACCAGTACACTGGTTGGGCGACTGAAAACTGTACATTGATATAAAAAATTGTGAAAAGACTGAAAAAAAAATAGGAAAAATGCTTGCTAACAACTAACACTTCATCTGGAATTCTAGCCACATGCTGCTTTTAAAATTTTTGTAATTTTGTTGTTGAAATGTATATGGCGTAAGTAAGGAAAAAATGTTGCTTAATAAAAGAGTTAAGACAAAAAGAAAAAGAAATGAGCAGGGGTGAGTGCAACAGGACACTGGTAGACAACAAGCTTAGCGAGAGCGTAGAAAAACCTTAACAAGTTCTTTTGCCAACCATTAAAATCTGATATTTCAGACTTTCTTTTTTATTCCTTTTTTTTTTAGATATAAAATTTAATTTTAACATACCTTTCACATTTATCTGCCAATAAAATCGAGTAGGTTCTGAGCATTCATTTACAACCAAATAATGTTTTCTACTGAACCTTTGGCTAATTTTATGAAAGCAAGAAAATTAATGAATTTTACTTATTACTTTCTTATTTACTTATTCTTATCTTTTGCCATTCCATAAGTTTAGAATTTAAATAAGTTTTCAGCTTTTGAGCAAAAAATCTGAGACTTGCGAACACAGAAATTCATGTTCGAGTTGAGTTGGTTTTTGTTTATGAGCTTAATTCTGTTTCCCAATGAAAATACTTTCACTTAAATTCACGGTTTAAATGGCCTGTCAAAATGGCGAGTGTACAGAGAGATCATTGGTGTTATGTAATTCTTCAATGTTTATTATTGAACTTATTATTATGCAGAAATGGTGCATTTGCTGAGAAAAACAAGTATTGTAAGTGATAAAATAAATACTTTAAAGTAGATTGAATTGTGTGGTCTGCCGTTGGATTTTGAATTTTTTAAAAAACATTTTTATAAATGTGTAAAGTTCACTCTATAATATTTGATGTCATTTCTTTTTTAATTTTATTTCCCTGTTAATTTTTAAAATTAATTTAAAAGTTATAACTGCTGCTTTTTATCTAAGTTAACACTTAAGTTGATATATAATAGTTTTTGTTTTATATTTAAAATTTTTATTGTGAATATTCATAAAACAAATTGGAAGAGAAATTTATACTTACCTATATTATTCTGTCAAACTAATGCAAGGGATGTATGCTATCACACAATTTACAGAAACTGAGTTTGATATAGCTGATTTTAATTTGTTAATTTTTATAAAAGTAATGCTAATTTTTGAGTGGTCCAGGTTGTGTATCATATTTGCCGAGTAACCATCGGAATGTTTTAACTTATTATTATCCCTTTCTTTAATTTATGTTACTGATATTCTTTTCTCTGCTTGCCCTTTTTATATCTATTGCAAAATTGGCTAAATTGATGAAAGTAATTAATACTTGCAAGTTTTTGTCCTAGGTCAAGGTAGGAAGATGATTTGATGCATAGCCGTTTTCCGGAACTGCATTTTTGTTACATTGAATGGATTATGCTAGTAATAATAATGATAATAAATCAGGCCCCGATTTAATTTATTTTAAAGTTCCCCCCCTTTTTTTATGTGTGTAAAGAAGGAACTTGTGATTATATTTTACTTACTGTGTTTCTGTTTCTATGCATACCTTTAATTCTTTTTTCGTGATGAAGTGCAATTATGTTTAGGTTTTTTTGGTTTTATTTGATTTTTCATATGATAAATATATAATTCCTTCATGTTAGTTTGGAATGCATTGCAGACTTCAGTGCATTTTGAATAATTCCATACAGCTGTCATCATTTTGCACCAGAGATAATTGAATGCTCTGCATCAACATTTTTTTAATATTTTAAATTCTTATATCATTTTTAAAATCATAAATTAAATTTCAAACAGAATTGGTCATTAATTTATAGTATTTTGGCACATTCATTTGAAATATAGAATTGTTAACATTATTTCGCTAAACAAACTCTTTTCCAAATGCAGACAGTAATTCTTGTCATGATTAAAAAAAGACAAGAAACTTCATCTTTTAAAACATCCTCAAGCTTCAAGTGTTCGAATTATTAGGCGAGTTACTGATTTGTACATGTATATTATACCTTCAACCTTGAAATTTGTCTACTATCGAATTACTAAAGTTGGCAGAGTTAATGCCAAAATTGTACCAGTTGATCCTGCATAATTCTGAAGGAATTGATTCCTCTTTATTTAATAAAGAATCAGTATTTGATCTACTTTGTAAAAATACTTTCGTTGGTTTCTACTATTTTATTAGGCCCTCTGATTTTACTGGAAGCTGTATTTAGAACATTACGAGTACAAACTTCCCACAGATATTTTTTCTAATCTGTTATTGTCTTGTTACCATATGTAGCTGATCATATTATGTTGATCAATGTATACTTTTTTTGATCGGATGTTATAATCCTGAAAATAAACATACTGTTTTGTAGAAGGCAGGTTACAATTTTTAGTCATTTTTTTCTAAATGAGAAACAGCAATAGATATTAGTTTATATCCTTTAATACAAACAAAACGTGGCTTATCAGGAATCAATTGGGGCTATATCAAAGGAAAGGGCAGATATTATGAGTGTGCTGTTACTTCATTCAATGTTCCACAATTGACACTAAATTGCACTGCTTGGTGATAATTTCATGGTCGATGGGATAATATGTAATTGCCAGATTATTTTATGGCAAATAATATATTTGGAAAAAATTTGGATTCTACATTTCAATAAGACGTATGCAGGTTTTGAAAATACAAGTGTGTCAAAACAACTGTGAGCCACTGTATAAAAACTACCAGACTTGATACCAAATTATTAAAAATTTGAAAATTACCAGTCTGTTTAAAAATGTCAAAAGAAAACCTTTGGCACATGTAATTTTCAAAAAGAGTATGGTTATTTTGGAGGTTTTGTGCAAGATTCTGCAGTTTCGTAAAGATTTCTAGAGGTGGGCTCTAAAACTTTGACTTCAGAATAGTAGCTTTTAATAAACCAGATGAAGAAGAGTCAGTTTGCTTGACTGAAAATTATTTTGCTTGGGGATTAAGAATTTTACTTTTACTCATTTTTAGGGCTTGGTATTCGTGCTATGTAAATGAATAATCGTATAAAAGTGTTTTATCAAAGATTATTAAGGAATCTTTTTATAAAAGTGTTTTATCAAAAATTTTTAAGGAATCATTTTATAAAAGTGTTTTTTTAACAAAGATTATCATTCATACTTTGAAACACCCAAAAAGAATGTGTTCTGGGATTGTCTTTGTATCCACTATACAGAGTTGCAAATCCAATAATAGGTGCTTTGTATTAAGTAGGTAAAAATTGTACTGACAAAAGTATGTCTCAGAACTGGTGAAACAATTGTAGCCACATTAGGTGGCAGAATATCAAATCAGCAGAGATTACACTAAGTGCCCCCCCCCATATACTAAAAATTTGAGTGTTTTTGGGAAGCATCAAATTCTTCTTCTTTAATGATTTAGAAACTCATCCGACTTCAATCTAATTGAGAATCATTGGATCAACTTTGAATTAATCAATTCTGAAAGAAAGATTGAAGATGTTATGTTAAATAAATCTGCCTATTTCAAATATCATTGATGTGATTTTTTAATGATGGGGTAAAAACATGCATCAGGATCAACAATTATCTTACTCGTCATAGATTTTACTACTGATGTATGTGTTCATCCAATTTTTGATATCTGCAAAATTCTTTTCTAGTTTAAAGTTTTGACAAGAAGTTTAGATGAGTTACTTTTAAAAAGTGGGTAGAATATTATAGTTTTTTTTTTTTTTTTTTTTTTTTTCCGTATAAAAAGATGAATAAATAGAATGGATGCAACAAATATGCAACTTTGATGCTGCTTTGCAGAATCTGAATGCTACAGATTTTGCAATTAATTTTATGGGCAAATTTTCTTAGTAGCCATTTTATAAAAAGTACTGATTAGTAAAAATTTATTTTACACTTATTTTCATAAATAGTTTCATTACAGTTCAGGCATGTTACAGTTACCTTCTTTTTTGCCTAAAAAGACAGATACCGTGATTCATTGAATAATACTGAGCCTGTTTTTTAAGAATGACAGTAAATAATTGTGGTACTTAGTATATTTTGCCATTGACCACTTTTAACAATGTTGACAAACAATGCAATTTATCTCAAATAATGGATAAACTTGATATCTTAACAAACTTATAAGAGCTTTACTTTGGTTTTATGCAATTCTGTATACAGGTTAAAAGTTAAGGCAGTAACCTTTAGTAAGGCAAGTTAGAAGTTTTGCAAGAAAATTGTGAGTTAACTGCTATTTATCTGTTTCTCACTAGTATTTTGATAAAAGGATTAAAATTTGGGACCAGTCTTTCACAAAACGCCAAACAGTGGTAAAAGCTTTTACAAAAGCAGTGTAAAATTGGGACTTGGGTTTTACAAAACAGCATGCAGAACAAAGTCCAAAATCTGGATGTCCAATATTTGAAATGATCCAAACCTTTGAACCACCAGCAATTTTTTTTAAAGATTCCCCCCCCCTTTCCTGAAAATAAGGAATGGAGAATATCAGGTGCAGTAGAAAAGTAATCATAAAAGTGATTTTTTTATGGGTTGACTGAGATTCTTGTACGTTATTTTCAAATATCTGCTGTCTAGGGAACCATGACGTAGCCAATGACAATATATTGATTGACATTAGTAGCAATCACACATTCAGCCTTTGGAGGCAGGAAGGAGTAATATTTTTCTGTATGATCTAAAAATAGGTGAATCCCTAAGATATATTTATGTGGAATTTCTAAGACTGGTTTTCTTTTCGTGGCATAACAATGAGAAGTGAGAAAAAATTAGTTTTGGAAGAAATTTGGTTAACTAGCAAATTTCTTAACTGATATGATCTATATTATTATTTTTTGCAGGCATTTATTATTACAGCGATCTTATCAAAACTAAATTTTGAATTTGTAATGATGTTGAAAAAAACTTCATAATTCTTCCCAAAAGATCTGCAAAGCAAAAGCATATTTGCTGCTTGCCTTCTATAGCAGTTTTGGCATGAGAAAAAATGGAGTTGGTGCAGTTTGAGCTTAATAAAATGCAATTTCAAAAGTAGTTGAAACAGCACCTTTATTTTGCCATAGATTTTAAATGCTACAGAAGGCAAAATTTTCCAATTAAAGAATTTATGAAGAAATTATAGTAAATGATGATATACCAGAAGTTTTCCATTCCGATAAAAAGGTCCCAATCAGCAATAAACTAACAGACAGCAAACATTGTAGTAGATGTTAAATCTAAAAGCTGTCACTACCAAACTACCAATAATGATGACAGTGAAAAATAAGTTTTTGGGGAGAATGAAAAGATTTCAACTAACAGTTGAGTGGTAATTTTCAACACGGCAATTACACGGTTTGAACAATGGAGCTTTTTAACCAAACAAGAAATTATATCTACCTATAAAATTAAAGAGATGGTATTAACACCAAAAAGATGCAGCCTAAACAACTTACATTGAAATAGCTATTAATAAAACAAATAAATAAATACTGAGCTCTCTTTTTTTTTTTTTTTGTAAATATTGATTTCATTAATGTCATAAATGCTTCAGTATTTTATAAATGACTCTTTCATATCTTAAATTTTGTAATTTATGCTTATTATTTTACTGTTTAAACTGACTGTATTTAATTCTGAAATTTCTAAAATCGGGAATTGCCAAAGATCCAAAGATTATAGATTTCGGACTTTGTGCTCTCTTTGTATTTTCAAAGATGTGGGACTGATACTAATGCATGTACTCAGAACATTGAAAAATGGGAGCTTTGTCAAAATGCTGCAATAAAAGTTATCTTAGAATGGCAGGACACCCTTTAAATTTTATTTAAATGAATTTGTATTGCATCAAGTTCATCTGCATAAACCATGCATTGCCATGTAAATGAAAGTTTTGCTGTTATATTTCATTGAGGGTTTTTGACTGTCAAAATAATTGCTGCTAGATTTAATGAATTTTTGTCAGATAATCTAAAAAATGAAGCTCATATTTATTTAAGTTTTTATATACCATATTTCTAACTTGTATCTGTTGATTATCTAATTGAATAAAGAGCAATCTATTCCCTTAATCTCCAACCGGAATCACTGCATAATTTTTGGCAAGATCTCTGCCAATTTTCACAGTTGACAGGAAGATACATAAGTACTATAACTTTTACCAGTTATTAATAATTAGTTTTATTTTAATGATTGTTAATTTCCTTTTGACAGGAAAAATATACTTTGCTGTTTGTTATAAATTTAAAAGATATAAGTATTGGAAAAGTTGAACCTATTGCTGTATTAAAACATCTAATAAAGTCTTTGTATGAATATAAAATACAGTTGATTGTATAAAAGTATGTTTGTATTCTTTCATACTACAGTCAAAAGTCGTTAATTCGGACACCCATAATCCGGACCTCAAAGCTACAAACTTTCTGCGCATGTGTCACGTTGATGCTTGCGCATAGGCATTTACGCATGCATGTAAGACCTTTACTGCTGCGAATATGCATGTGTGCATGCACATAATACGTTTACGCATGTGCGTTTAATGTATAACGGACGGTATAAGCTAAGCTAAAATTATCTAATTCAGTTAATGTTGCAGATTGCGTTGTTCCTTAATCTTTGAATTGGATCCGGTTTATTATTTTTTGTAGACTGTTAGAGCAATTTTATAAAAGTAAGCTTGAACTTTCGATTATGTCAAGTAGAATTTCCGATATATATTTACTAATATGTAAAGGATCTACAAAGCGAAAGTATGTTTCGAAGTCCATTAAACAAAAAGTGGAATCGCTGCAAAAAATGGATAAAGGCATATCCTTTGTTTCTCTAACCATTCCGAAATCTGTTTATCAATTTCATGCTGCTCTGCAGCAGTGTGTGTGTGTGGGTGGGTGGGGGGAACGCCGCGGCGCACAATGAATTGGAGTCAGCACTATCTTTATCTTCAGAACAGATGTTTTTATTTTATTTGACTTATTATCTCTTACTAAATGTAGTATTTCATCTCGATGTACTCTGTCTTTGATATGATTTAAATAAAATTCCTCGTCATTATAATTCGCTTCCGACAGTGAAGAAAGTGACACAGAGGTTATTGAAAACGAAAAAATTTCGATTGACAAATTAGTCGGTATCTCAACAAAGCAATTATAGGACTTGAACAGCGGAACTTTGACACTGAACAAGAAATTATGTCTGTTTATAGAATTAAAGAGAAAGTATTATCACATAAAACGAAGCACCTTAAACAACTTACATTGAAAGAAATGTTTAATAAAGTAAACAAATAAATATTAAGCTTTTTTTTTGTAAATTTTGATACCCTTTAGATCATAATTGTTCTTTATTTCATAAATTACGGTTTCATATTTTTAATTTTATAATTTCTGCATGCCATCTTACCAGATTTAAACTGATGATCTATAATCTGGAAAAATCGAGAATCCGGAATCGCCAAAGTCGCGACGAGTCCGGATTAAAGACTTTTGACTGTATATATTTAATTGAGCTTATGATTTGTTTTTTCGGTACTCTCCTGTTATCGGGATTGGATTCAGATGTGTGTATGTGCATATATATTATGTATATACACACATAACATATGCACATGCGCACATAATGTATGCATGTATGTACTTACCTACATACATACATGAACACATACATCCATATACATGTGCATAGATACATGCACTTCTGAATCTTGTTCCGATACCAAAAGAGTACAGTTTTCTCAGATCATATATCTGCATTATATCAAATTTATCATATATTTGCATTACCTACAAAAGAATGTGATCTTAAAGTATATAAGAAAAATGGTATAAAATGCTTATTGTAAAACTTTCTTCTTTATACTATATATATATAAATAAAATCTTAAGAATAGCCAAGTAGTAGAAACTACACTCAAAAAATAAAGCCTAACCTGCGCTGAAGCTGCAAGTTAAAAATAATCAGTTTCAAGGTGAAATAGCAAAGTTGGAAAGAAAATGAATTTAATGCCAAAAATGAAGGTAAACCTAACATCCTTATATATTTATTGACTCGTAATTTGTTTTTCTAGATCATATATCTACATTATGCACAAAAGAACGCAACCTTCAAATGTATAAGAAAATAGATGGTACAGTTTTACGGTCAGACGGAGAAGATAATTTACAGTGCGTCCTTACATTTCAGACAGATACTATACTGCAACGGTTTATGCTCAGGTTTGAAAGGTTAGCTTTGGATTGCAACGATCATCTTTATATCTTTGATGGAGCACATGCATTTGGCAATTATAAGGTAAAGTGTTTTTTATTTTTTTTTTTTAAGTTTTTCAAAATATTTGTTTTAAAACAAAGTATTTTAAAATTATTTGACTCTTCAAATTCCAGATACATTAAAATGAAATTTATATTTTTACATGATGTTTTTGAGATAAGTAAATCATGAAAGTTAGTGTGTAGAATATTGTTAAATTCATTTATAAGAAAGTGGCTATACTTGGACTAAATCCAGCATTTTCAGCACTTTAGGTGTCAGCACAGTTGGTGTCCCATATATACTAAACATAATTATGCAAAGCAAAATATGTCTTTATTAAGTTTATGAAAACAGCTGGTCTCCTCTGACAATCAGCTTCCTTACCAGTTGCATATGTTTGGAGTTGATTCAGGTTATAATGAATTTATGGCTTAAACTAGCAAATCTAATTTCCATTTTTACCATAAACAAGCCATTATTTTCCACGATAAGCTATTTTCTTGACTGATGTAATAATTTTATCTCATTTCATTGGCAAAAATTATATCTTTGTCAAACACAGTGTTTTTTTTTTTTTTTTTTCCTTACCCTATGATCATGATCTTTTATAAAAGAACCTGTACCTCATTTTATGCAAAAGAAAAGATTGCTTTACCTTATACTTCCATGTATAAGGCGAGAATTTTTATAACTTTTCCTAAACTCAAATTATGGGAGCCGGCTTATATACAGATCTGCTGAAATTGCAGGTAATTTAGGCATTTTTCTGTTAGCTGAGTGCACGCGATAAATCACTAAATGTCACACTTTTATTTCCTTAGTGTATATTTCTTAAGGCTACAAAAAAATTTATTTTGAATAAAACGAGTTATTCATTTTATTAAGATTTGTTTTATTTTCAACATTGTTTATATTGCTAATTTTTGCATTATCAGCAAAACGAAAGATCTGTTGCTAAAATTTGCACTCAGTTTTCTCTGAAACTAAACTTTCTTTGAACTCTCGAACTTGTTTTTCATTTATGAAGAAATGCCAAGCACAGCGAATGTGATCAACTGTAGTTTAAAATTTGTTGTATAAGAATTTTTCTTCCTGCTCAGCTTTGGGACAAAATATGAAATGGCACAGAAAATTAACTGATACCACAGATTATGTACAAGACAAGACAACAAAAGAATGGAATAAATGTGTAAGCCTTAGATAGGGTTAGCAGACTTGAAGCTAATCATTGTTGGCATCTCACTTCTTACTTTACAGTGATTTGATTGGAAAAAATTCCACTTGTTTTATTTGCTTGCAACAGTTTCATCCTCATGATGACATGTTTGAGCGTTACAAGAATATTTTCATTTCAGCTTATATACAGGTTTTGTATTTTGAGTACATTTTTAAAAAAGAAACCTACTCTTGGCATATACACAGATCAGCTTATATTCAGAAATATAATGATAATTGACTGTCTTCATATAAAAGCAAATTTGTACATTGTCCTAAAAAATTTTGATTCTTCCCTATAGCATCAGATGGGTACTAGAGTTGGCATGTAGGGATTTATATTTATTTTAAATAACCATTTTATTTAATTTGTTATTCTTTTCTATAAGCCTTCATTCCTCTAATTATCAATGCCAGAATATTTAAATTTGGAAGCACGCATGAAGGAATGCAGATTCTACCTTGAAGAAAGAGGTTAAAAAGTGAGGTTCAGTAAGAAAGAGAGTTAGGCTATTGCCATCACCTCTATTGCTTAAGTGTTCCTCTGTTCCAGAGTTATTGCTGGTTTTGCATGGCTTAATTGCATTTGCTTGTTACCACTACTTTTCGACAGGGTTTAAGAAACAGGAATTATTCTGAGCCCTGTAGTTTAGTTTGACGACTTGTACATGTCTTCAAATCTTTACTTAGTTTTTTTTTTTTTTTTTTTTTTTTTTTAAATTTCAGTTACCACTTAAGCATAGTTTGTTAGCATCGAGTTGCCACATTGTAAATTTTAAAGAGTTAATAAATTGTACTTTTAACCCTTCTTCTGTGCAGTTACTGTTACAGTTTTCACACAGGAGTGAACCAAGTGGACGCTATAGGCTATTTTCCCTAAGTGAGCTCAATCTTTGCAGAAAAATTTAAAATGTTTGCTTTTTCATTGGTGCCAACTTATTTATGTTTTAAAAATCATTCCTTTGAAGTTTCGTTCATATTGCAATTTTTCTGGATCATCTGATCATTCAGTATCGTATGACCTTTGGCATATAGAAGCAGAACTAGATTTGAAGGCAGAAATCTAACAGTGTTTAACTTTTGTTCTAAAAGTGAAGTCAGGGACAAAATGTACAATATTTATAGAAGAGCAGAGAACTCTTCAAAGTTTACTGTTGGCAGTTTTAAAAAATAAAGATCAAGAAACTTAAGGAGCTTTTAAAATCGAAATGTGTTAATTCAAGAAAGAGGAATTATTCAGCTTTATGCACAAATATTAAAAAAATGTATTGTATGATTGATTTTTAGAAAACATTGCTTAGAATTTCCTTATTAACAACTGAAAATCCAAGTCTGCGATATTAGTGGAAGATAATTATAAGGATTTAAGATTTATCATGAAGAATTTGTAAAATTTAGATGGAAAGTTGTTGCTTTTTGGGTCCATGGTATCTCCCAACTCTGGATACCCCAGAAATACTCAGTTTTATAATTTTATATAACATTCTGATCAACATGTCTATTGTGTTTTCCCCCCTATTATCAACTACATGCTTACCAAAGAGGCTTCCATTTCTGCAACCTGTTGTATATGTTTAATGGAAACCAGTGATGCATATGAATGCATAAAGTGTCTTGACACTGGGAATTAAATTCAGAAAAAAAAAAAAAAAAAAAACCCATAGTCTTCACAACAACATATATTTTCAATATTGTCCCCCCCTCCAACATGCTGTACTAAGGTAAGTGAAATGTATGATTTAGTATCATGATGAGTAATGTTCTATATTTAGATGAAAACTCTTTCAACATTCTGTTAGGAAACGTTCTGTGTGCTAATGGCCAATTGAACTGCATGAAGTTTATAAAATATCTCAGAGGCTGTAATATAGAATTAAATAGCACTAAAGCCTTTCTTAAAAGGATAATTCACTTTTATTTTTATTTTCCACTAATGCTAAATTTACGTGGTGGATTTTCAATCATAAGAGATTTAAACTAAGCTTTTTGCTAACCAATCAGACCTTGCTCTGTCAAGAAAACTGGTTTAAGTATTTTGCCTGAAAATTCTAACTTTCATTTTTGTGCTAGCTTTTCATAAGAATCAATCAATCGCAGTGAAGCCAACACAAACTGACATTTAATCAATGGTTTTATTGGATCAACAATATATTTATGCATGCATAACTTTTCCTTACCTGATTGGCTATGGCTTAATGTCTTTTTAAATTTAAGTAAGTAGTTTTGGTAAGGAAATGTTGTGTTTTACAGCTTTGATATGAACTTTAGACTGTTCTTCGTAGAATTACAACTACAAGTCATTTTGCCATTTGCACATCCTTTTCTGCTGTTCCCTTTTTCATAAAGCACAGTATGAGCTAGAGCAGGGATTCTAAATGGAAGGAATTAGTAGCTTCAGGGGAGGATAGTGAAGGCATTTTATTAAGCTGTTAAGTATTTAGCTTTAGTTTATGAATATAAGAAACTACTGTTGAAGTTTTGATATTAATCAATGTTTTATGCACTTTTTGTTTTTAATTTATAAAACACAGTAAAAAATAATGTAAATAAATATAATGTGTATTTTTCAAGTTCTGGAAAAAAGAAGGGAGGATGATTTTCTGTGAATGGTGAAAGTGGTGCATGGGGCAAAATAGGTTGAGAATCATTGGGCTAGAGTTTTTGCCGAACAAATTCAGAATAGTGTTATTGTAAAATGGGAATGGTCCATCTGAGGCAAGCATCAAATGTTGTGTGTTGCCATGTGACATTAGAAACATTGTTTGTGGGACTGTTTTATTAATTACACATTTGTCTTTTAATATTGCATAGAATACATAGGAAGTATGTGAAATATTAATCATTTCATGCTTTGACCTCTGATTTTCAGCATTCTACATATGTATTCATTGCGTAGAATGCCTAGGCATTCTATGCAATGTCTTAATTTTTATTATATTGCCAGTAACATGTATATCAACTTAAATTTAACTTATGGCTTCTCCTCTAAGAATAGTACTTGGCTATGGAAAGATTGCTTCTTCTAACTAGTGATCACATAAGTATTCACTCAAAACCAGGTTCACCCAAGCTGAGCTTCCTGGCCTTAAGACTTCAATATCGCAATACCTATTTTTTGTTTTTGATTTGTCAAAACTTTTTATGCTTTCTGTAAAAGGCATTAAATGAATTTTAAATTTATAGTTGAAGGAGTTGCATATAAAAAAAGGTTTAGAAAACAAACATTTTCCTTTTTAATATCTTAAAATGTATAATCTTCAAAAGGAAAAGTGCTAGAGCTCTAAAAAGGGGATCGGAAAGCTGAAATATTTTAAATGTATGATCAGAATTATAATATAAATTGGATGAAAATTGTTTTATATAAATCAAAGCTTAATGATATTAAAAAAAAAGAAAATAAATGAAAGTTAATAACTCTTGAACAAAAGTCTGTATAAAATAATAATTTCAAGTTAATGATAAATATAGGTGCTGACAGGGATAAGTAGACATTGTATATGGAGAAGGACGTGTGTAATGGAACAGTACTTAATCAGCTCTTGGTGTTGCAAAAGATATCAAGTGCAGAAAAAGACTGGTTTCTTAATATACGAAATAGAAGAGCCAATAAATTTTATTTAATGATATTCTCTTAATATTTGCTAAGCAAAATTCGAGGCCACATATTAAATTTCTTGGGGGATGAACATATGTGAAGGTTAATAAGTGATTATTAATTTATGAAAGTGAAGTAGAATAGGTATCACTATGAGTTTCAGAGATAGTTTATCTCTTTAGCAAAATTGACTGTCACATTTTGTACAATTGTGATAGTTGGGTACTAAGCTATTAAAGTCTGATATTACAACAGTTGCAATGTTCAGACTATGATGCAAAATGAGGAATGAAATTTTACTCTTAATAAATATTTTCTATACTTTATTAAAAAATAAGGATGGTAATTTCATGTTTATATATATAGTGCAAATTTCATGTTTATATATATAGTACAAATATTCTTCAAGAATGTATCCTTCTTCTTTAAAAAATTACCGTATATGGTAGAAAATGTTTTTTTACAATAAAATAATAAAAATAGAAAAATAAAAAAAAACTGTTCTCTCTCCTTTCCTATGCAGTCTGAAAGATGTGCATTAAATTAATTAATTATAAAAAGGGCACATTTGTACTTGTTATCTGGAACAGAAGAATGCATCGTATGTTAAACAAAATCTTTCAAAATATTAATATGCATCTAAGCAAGACTGAGTCTCTTTATTTATTTATTTATTTATGCTTTGTAATAAACTGCTTATGTTTTTTATCGTCAATCTTTGTATATTCTCTTATGTATTGCTACTATTTGCCTAACATATTTCTTTTTACTTCTGGTTACTTTTTATATATTATGATATGTTGGTATTTTGTTTATTGTTTTGTAAATAAATGTTTTCTTTTATATGAAATTTTTCTTATTTTAATTAATGCATCATTATGCCACATTGTTTTTCAAAGAAATTTTTTCATGCATGTAATATTTTACTATTTTCTGCTGCTTTCATTTTATTTCCTCATTTTTTCGAAGTTAAAATGTTTTAATTTTTTTATAAAGTTTATTTTTTTGTTTTAGTTTTGAGTTATGCTTGCTTCTGGCTGTTATTTTTCAAGGTAACATTTTATATGCTTTTTGCATTGCACTGTTTTATTATTTTACTACTATTATTTCAGTTTTGCTTTCTGCAGTATATTGTACTTAAACTGAATTATGGATTTATGGTCATACATTTATTTGCTGTAAGCTGTTAAGTTTTATTTAATGCTGGTAAAATTATTTTTCAATGCATTTATGCATATTAAAAATTTTTTGTAATCTGTGTTAGAGAAATTATTTAAATATTAGTTTAATTATTATATCACTGGATGGTTATTAATTATATTTATAGAGCAATTAGATATGTATCATGGAGCAAGTAACATGAAAAAGCAGCAATCCTTTCACCAGGATTCAAACTCCAGACATCTCAATTGCTAGCTGGATATTTTTCCAATTCCACTTTGAAGACACACTGTTAAAGAGGGAGGAAATAACCTTCATATTGAGAATAATTATTAATTAGAATCAAATTACTGTTTGAAATGGCATACAATATAATTAATAGAAGAGTAAAAATAAATGCTCAGTAATGTTTTAGTAAAAATTAACTATTTTATCTAACTTCATCCAAGGAACTAAAGACACAATCAGCAAAATTAAAGTTGCAGAAATTATCATTTAATAGCCTAAATGTTTATTTGCATTATATATGTTTAGCGCTAATTTTGCTTCTCAATGTACAGAGTTAGTTAAAAATTTGTAGATATTTCGTGTGTAACTGCTTGTGCAGTATTCCAGATGTTCCTCAAGAACAGGATTGACATTTGAAATGGTTAATGGCCTGTGTTCTAATGAATTTATTGCTGATGCTGCCCAGATGGTATAGTGGGTAATTACGCTGACTGCTGTACAGAAGTGTCCGGGTTCGGATCCCGGAGAAGACATAGGTATTTATTAACGTATACTGTTTGTATGGCAAGGGAGGCATTCAAAATATAAGGTGAACGAAAATTTTCTCAAGAGGTTGTTGTAGGGAAAGAGAGTTAGAAGATCCCCGTATCCTCTCTTAAAGTGTTCTCTCTCAGATTCCAAATTGGGGGGGGGAAGCTTGTCAGTTTATCAATAGATACAGCTATACCTCAAATCTTTTATGATACTACAAAGATGATGATCAAGCTTCTACATATACCTGCCTACTTATATGCAAAATTTCAAATTAGTACATTAAACCTCTGAGCGGTGCAGATTTTTGGATCTGTCATGAAGATCTGTATTTAAACAGCCTTTATTAGCTAAATTTGTATATTTACTTATTTTAATCTGTATTTTCATAAACTTTCATTCATTACGATGACATTTTTATTATTAAAGAAAGTAAGAAAGCAAAATATCTTAAATTATAAGTTACAAAAAATTTCCTGATTGGATAAAGCCCGTCGTGGCGCTCAGAGGGTTAATTGGCATCTTCTTGATTGGATAACACTCAGACAAATTTCCATTTTTAATAATTAGGATATAAATTTAGCATTATATAAATGTTATAGCAAAAAGCAAATGCAGAATGATTTTTTGTTTGCATCATTCATTTTCATTTCAAATGAACACTGAATTTTTTTGTAGTGTATTTGGGAAGGGCACATTTCATACCTGTAACTGTGGTAAAATTGGCCTTAATCATCGAAGCATGGTGGTAATGTTCATCAGCTCATGAGGAAATCTTGGATCCATTGCCAGTCTAAGTTATCTTTGACTAAGAATAGAACCCTTCCATCCACTTTGTGTTTTGACTAGTTTAATTCAGTTTAGAAGCATGGAACAATGTATACGATAGATAACATTTGAAGTATAATTGGAAATGATTATCTTAATGATTAAGTAAAAAATTTTGGACCCACTTTTTTAGTACACTGTTTGTGCTTCCAAAGAGGGTTCTGAGTTTAGTAATACAACGTGATAGTGTGATGTCCCATGGAGGTCAATTATAGTCTGTACAAATTTTAAGTATTAATCCTTATTTCAAAACTGCATTTTATGCAGTAGTATAAACTAGGAAAATATTTTTAAAAAGTTAGTTCTAAACTGAACAGCAAGAAAAATTTAATGTGATATAAGAAAAACTGAATTTTCATAAACAGAAAATGTCTCTTAACGTTTACTTTGCATTTAAGTAATCTGAAATATGCATTTGTATATTGAATAGCATTGAAACTATAGATTCACAAGTATTTATAATTTAAAAATTTTTCAGTTATATACATATTAGAATTACCAAGTAAAAAATATTTGATAAATTAAAAGAAAATTTGATGAACATAATTTTGATGAACTTTTATTTAATCAAATTTTAGATTGCTTATGCTTCATGCTTATTAATGTGATTATTTATGCTTCTCCAAGCAGACTTATTAAGATTATTTTTGCTGCGGTAGGCAGTCTTCATATTAATAAGATTATTTATGCTGCTGTAGGCAGACTTATCATGCCGCAGTACAAGAGCTGATATTGGGACCATCTATACTCAGAGCAACTTTGTAACTCTTAAGTATGTGACGGATAAATGGACCCAGGACGGAAATGGTTTTACATTAGTTATTACGACTTTTAAGGATTCACGTGAGTGTATGATTTTTACTCTTAATTAAAAAAATATTGATTTTTTTTTCTGTGACATTTTTCTGAATTACAATTTATTTTCATAGACTACTTTTGCTAGCTTATTTAGTAAACATCATTAATTTTCGATAGTTTGCTCTTTTTTTTTTTGGTAATAAGAAATATTAATTTGTGTATGCACATCATACTTAAATTTAAGATGGTTATAATATGACTTTTCTTGTAGATTACGGTGCATTTGTTGGCAGTTATTATTAGATGTGTAGGATACTAGTTATTATCACACAAGTTGACAGCATTTCTTGTTTTGACAACATGCAGCTTTTTCCATGTAGTTAAAACAACACCTGCTGTAGATATTAAAAAGAATCACGTAGGTAATTATTTGATGAACTGGAATTGGAGCAATAAATTTTATGGTGCAGTTTTATTTCTAGTTATGTTAGTGATAAAACTGATAACTATGTTCAGAGTAGGCACAGGAAATTCATATCTCATGCATGAAACATACAATATTTGAATTTGGTTGTAAGATGGCAATAGTCTCCATACAGCAAGATGGCATTACTATACATAAAAGAAATGTATAAAGTTGTATTGCCCAGAGTAGTGTAGTTCAAATGAAGTGAAACATCTTTTGACTAAAAGATGTCCCAAAATTAACGCAAGATTTGAATTTGGTGGCATTTTTGCATTAAGATTTTGGCAACCCTGAAAGAAGAGAAGTTTGAAAGCTGAGAGTTTAGGATTAATGTGGATTAGTTTGTGAAAATGGAGCGTTATATGATACAACAGCATGTCTTCATTATTGAACAATATTTTTAAAATAATGAAAGTTTGTCGGCTGCAGTCTGAAAATTTTATACAAAATATGGTAAAAGTAGTGTTTTAAGGCCTCATTCAATTGAAACAGCGATGATCGCTCAAACAGCGATCGTTGTATCCAGCATTAGCGATCACTTCTGAAAACGAGTGATTTTTCGTATTTATTTGAAACACTTCCCTACCAGTCGAACTCGTAGGGGTTGCCAGAGGTTACTTGATGCGCGATGCAGTTTGTCACGTGGTCGGAAGTTGCGTTTGTTTCGAAATAACCAATGAAAGAGCTACCAGATGTGCAGGTTGACTCCTCATAACTAAGTCCTTAACCCTTATCGTAACTTTAGGGTTGCAGTTCACGTTTGGTGTGCCATCTTTGGCTTTTCAGCGCTATTGTTTCAAAGTTTTATCTATGGAAATTCTTCAAAGGTATTATTTTATTTTAATTTCTTTATGAAAACAGCTAACCTGAAAGACACATTCCATTCACATATGCAGCGTATTCGGAAACTAAGTACCGTTTCATTCTAGCGCCGTTGCAGCGCTGTGGTAGGCATCCCACGCATGCGCACTAGTCTTTCTTGTTCACCGACTTTCAATTGTCGCCATTTTGGTTGCTCTATGTTGTGTTTTCAGTTTGCTGTGCACATTCAAAATGTTTAAGACAATTAGTTCTCCCGCTGACTCTGAGATTCGTGCCGTGATTAAATTTTTGAACGCAAGGAATGTTAAACCAGCCGAAATTTATCGTCAAGTGATAGAAGTTTACGGTGAATATGTGATAAGTGATGGAATGGTGAGAAAGTGGGTAAGAATGTTTAATGCAGGTTGAACAAATGTCCACGCCGAGGCTCGAAGTGGTCGGCCTTCTGTTGTAACCGATGATTTAGTAAGGAAAGTTGATGAAGCAATTCATGATAACAGACGCTTCACAATGACAACTCTTTCAGAGGCATTTCCACAAATTTCATGTACTGTTTTGTTCGAAATTGTGTCTGATCACTTGAATTATCGCAAACTGTGTTCCCGATGGGTTCCAAAAATGCTCACTGATGTTCACAAAACAAAGCGACTTGGTAGTGCCCTGACATTTCTCACGTGGTACAGTGATGAGGGAGAAAACTTTTTAAACCAAATTGTGACAGGTGATGAAACTTGGGTGTGTCATTTCACACCAGAATTGAAACAACAATCGATGGAGTGGAGACACACTCATTCTCTGAAAAAACAAAAGCTCAAAGTGACAATGTCGCTCACAAAAAATCATGTGCACTGTCTTCTGGGATAGGAAAGGCGTTTTGCTTACTGAATTTCTTCCCAGAGGTGAAACCATTTATGCGGCACGATATTGTGAGACTAACAAAACTAAGGCGTGACATTCAAAACAAACGAAGAGGAATGCTCAATAAAGGAATTGTGTTGCTCCATGACAATGCTCGGCCCCATACTGCTGGTGTCACTCAATCGTTAATTCGACAGTTTCATTGGGAGCAGTTCGATCACCCACCGTACAGCCCGGACTTGGCGCTGTCCAACTATCACTTGTTCCTGCACATGAAGCGCGAGCTTGGTGGCAAGCACTTTGGATCTGACGATGACACGAAAAATGCTGTGGAGTCGTGGTTATCGAAGCTGGTGGGAAGTTTCTTTGACGATGGTATACAAAAACTGGTCACCCGCTATGACAAGTGTTTGATTATTGGCGGAAACTATGTTGAAAAATAGTTTAAGACATGTATTTTCATGTAAAAATAAAATTGGATTCGAAAAAATTGTTTTACTATTTTTTTTTTTCAAAACGGTACTTAGTTTCCAAATACGCCTCGTAAATCATATACATGTGAAAAATATAGGTCAAGTAAATTTTACGTGCATACTGAAAAAAAAGTGATTCAAAAGACCTTTTAAAGCAAAAGAAGAGAAAAATGTACCTAGTTCTATTAACAACTCAAAAAATACAATGTAATATATTCTAAAAGGAAAATTATATAATACACAATGATGTAGATTACATATATTTAATAAATACATAAACTCTATAATGACTCTAATGTTCATAACTATATAATAAACGCCAACACATATCACATCATGGTACATAACACTGCTATGAAAGGAAGAATTTTGAATTAGAAACATACCTTTTATATTTATTTGATAACATAGACGAATAAAACATAAAGATGACAAGAAGTTATGAAAACACGTTATGCAACTTAAGAAACAGTAAGAAGCCTTTTAAATTATTGCAATATCATAAGGCACTGATTAGGAAGTAAATATCATTTTTTCATTCTTTTACATCAGTAATACTTTTTTCATTAAAAACTTTAGCAGTGAAAGCCAAAACAGATTTATTATTGGCGCCTCTGCAAGGTCACACAAAAATAAACTTGATTTAGCAAATTCTAAAACATTAAAATCAAAAGTAGTAAATTACAGTAACATATATTAATAAATTAGTTTAATTACACATAAAAATTGTCTGAATTAAATTAAGAATAACTGACTAAGCTTGTACAGCATTTTAAAACATATTTTATGTTGATACATTGGAAATAAATTGACAGCAATTACAGTTAAATGAAAGAGCTGGAAATATAGTCTACATGATGTATAAATACAGTCAAAATTATTCGTTAAATACCTAAATTGATGCTTACATTCTTCAAAATGAATATAAATATGATATATTTATGTTACTTTAAGAGAAGCATTATATAATGCATAATTTCAATCATATTATCCAATGTTTACATTTTTTTTTTTGCATTGGAGGCTGACTGACAGATTTGGCAACAATATAATAAGGCCAAAAAATAACATACGATTTTAAACTATGAATCCCGCATTAAAATTGAAATAAAAAGTGCACTTCATAGTTATAATCACACACAAAATTGAAATCAAATATATAATATAATTGTTTAAACTTTGTCCTTTCGCAATAATAACAATAAAGAAAATCACATCAGCATCTACTTATCGCCATCGGTATCTGTGTATTGACTATACACATTCTGATATTCATTTTGTACATATAAATCAGTTTGTCATTAATTAGCAATACTTAAATGATAATACACATTTCGCTGAAACATGAAACTTATTTTTTTAACATTTATGAAAACATACGAAGCTGAACTTACTTCAAAAGCGCACGGTCTTGCGATCGGAATCTATTCTAATGGACAAGAATTAATTACCCATTTTCTTCGTATTTCTTCATTTCTGCGAAATAGAACATACTAAAGTTATTTCTGGAACAATATGAATAATTTGATGCAGTGCATCCATGCATATTTCTCTGAATTAGGTAGCAATCTATCAACACAATGCTAAATCAATGTCCACTAGCAACAAGTGCACTTAATTTGGATACAACACAGATGATGTGTCGGCTCCCCTTGCTAGGATCCTTATACACCCTATACTTTGATATAAGTTGCTGCTCACTCAACAGATCTAAAGCATTTTCTTTAGCACACTTGATTTCTGTCCTCGTGAAAGCACAAACAACACAGCCGCCATATTGATTCGATCGTTTTTCGCCGAAACCTTCTCTCTTTTCAATATGAAAACTTTAACTTCTTCTCCTAACCATATGGATACGAAAAATTCTAAGCTGCTAAAAGAATTTGTACTTCGACCTTAATTAGCATAAACAAATGTCCAAAGTTCTTAGTTATCACTGGTGAGCTAGAAAATCTATCACCATTCTTCATCCATAAGCATATTGTGGCCTCAGCAGGCGAGCCAAAACACATAAAAAAGCTCCGTTCAGGATCTCTGCTCATCGAGACTACATCTGATGCACAATCTTCCTCTCTCCTAAAAATGACCAAAATGGGGGAACATTCTATTACTGTATCCTCTCATAAGTCTTTTGAACACGTCAAGAGGTGTCATTTCGGAAATAGACTTGATATCAGTCTGAGGATGAACTTTCAAAAGAACTTGCCGAGCAAAATGTATGTGGTGTCTGCCGAATAAAAGTCCATAGAGACGAGCAACTCGTCAACACAAAACATCTTATTCTGTCTTTCTCCTCTCCAGAGCTACCGAAAGCCATTAAGGCAGGTTACCTGAATTGCCCCATCAGACCTTACGTGCCGAACCCACTGCGCTGCTTCAAGTGTCAACGGTTTGGCCATGCGAAGGCCGCATGCCGGGGAAACCTG